ATCCCGGCTCTAGTGAAGTGCGATTTGTGGTGGAAAAAGTGACGCTGGGGGAGGTTTTCTCCGAGTACTTCGGTTTCCCCTGCCAATCATCATTCCACCAATGGCTCCACAATCACCCTCACCTATCATATGGGGCTGGTACAATAGGCCAGAAGTGGCAGCAGTACAAGGGACTTAGTCCCACTCCACTAGCAAAAAACAAAAAAAAAACCCGAACATTCTCATTCGGCGAAGTTCGGTTGGCTCTCACTTTTAGTGAACACTATGGGAGCTCAGACGGCGGTACTCATTTCTATTACAAGGCTGAGTCGACCCCAGAGTCATAGTGCAGCTGGAAGGGTTAGGCCAATTGAAAAACCCAGTGATCTCATCGGGAATCGAACCTGCGACCTTCTGTCTTGTAGCCTAATGCCTCAACCAACTATGCTCCTGTATTAAGGTACTGATGTAATGTCCGCTTCTCATTTTTCTGCTATTCCTTTTTAACCGTTCATGCCTGAACAATGACAATGAATCCAGTTTTTTCTTGGCTTCTGATGCCTTGCAACCCACACGGAAATACGAAGATTGCCACTTTCTTCCCAGGCATCGTTCTTTCTTAAATGTGATTATAAAATGCATCTTTATGGTCCCATAAACATTTTATTTCTCTGTACCGTTGTTAAAATTTCTATAGTGTCTATAGACCTTTGAAAATGTGACACTGTTCAAATATTTGGGAATGATAGTAACAAATCAAAATTTCAGTTAGGAGGAAATTAGAGATTGAATTCAGGTAATGCTTGTTACCATTAAGTGCAGAGTTTTTCTGGCTTCTTGTCTGCTGCCCAAAAACGTAAAAAGTTGAATATACAGAACTATAATTTTGCCTGTAGTCCTTTATGGGCTCCCATGAACATAGTAATGAACCCTCAGGTTCCATAAAATGTNTCTTTATGGGTGTGAAACTTTTGTCTCTTATGTGTAAGAAGCCATGCAGCAATGCATTCATTTTGCTTTTTGCACAGCTTCATTGCTATTTCAAGACAGCTAAAGGTTTCACTATGAGAGGGAGTCGGTTCATTTTCTTCCTTATCTTCTTGAATACTGTCAGCGATTTTCTGGCCAATAAAAATTTTTAAGCCATGATTGTCTGCATCATTTAGATTTATATAGCCTCATCAGTGAGAGGGCTTGTACACAAATGTAAATCTTTTCAAGTAAGAGTCTACCACAGATTCAGACGTTTGTCAAGAAGACATTAAGAAGAGGAAATAAAATCACCTTCCTTCAATTTAAACATAAGTTCATCACTGTAGTATAGGTTAATTAGTTCAAGCTCAAAGATAGGTGAAGTGACAGGAGGTTGGAGAAAACTATATAATGTGTAATGCACTCTTTGCCAAGTATGAATAGAATGAGATGGGCAGGGAATGTAGAATGAATGGGGATAAGAGGAATACATACAGCATAATGGTGGGAAAGCCACAAGAAAAGAGACCATTAGGAAGACCAAGACATATGTGGTTGAATAATACTAAAATTGATCTTAAAGAGACAGGATGGGGTGCTTTGGACTTGATTGATCTGACTCAGAATAGGGACCAGTCGAGGGCTCCCATGAACATAGTAATGAACCCTCAGGTTCCATAAAATGTTAGGAAGTTCCAGATTAGCTGCACAACTGGTGGCTTCTCAACAAGGGCTCAGCTCCATGAGGTTAGTTATAATACCTATAGAGGATACTTTTTATATTCCTGTCAAAAGATCACTATATCCAGCAGGTGCAGTTGCTGCCTGACATGTTTAAGCACGTGTGTGCCATCCTCAGGTTCGGTTCTTAGTCACATGTACTTGTGTAAATTATCCATGTAACCCCAACAGGAACCGCCACTGGTATACACTGTATACACTATATATACTATGTACTAATTTACTATATTATATACAACAATGGATTGGTTTTGTATCATGGTTCTGCTACAGGGAGGAACTGCTGGGCAATCTCCAGGTTTACAGTTCACTCTGCCAGCGTGGAAGTACTGAAACAGCTCTGTAAGTTCTACAGCAGGCCGTGACTCTTTGTATGTAAATTACTGCCCCTTACAGGAAACACAGGAGAAAGAACAAGGTTCCCTGGTGAAGCCAAAGGTTAGGGAGACTGTGCCAGGAAAGCTGAAGATTGAACAAGGCCAAACAAGGAATTGTTTGCAGAAGCTTGAAGGAGGTACAAAAAGTCCTGTCAGATAGTCTAACCAAGAGAGTAGGAAAATCATCCATCAGGGAGTCAGTGGCATTGAGTGGAGGGAGACTCCACAAACTTCTCGCCAAAGATCCCATGGCCAGTTTTGGACCTGTTTTGCTTCCAACTGGGGAAGGCACAACCTTAGGAGAACATGAAAGTTAATGCTGGAGTGTGCTGCTATCATAACCATTTTCAAAATTGCACCCCAAAAGGATGATCATCAGGAAACGTGCACTCCGCAAGTAGTGGTATGCATGAAACTCATCATCATGAAGTACGTCAAGGGCCCTGGGTTCGGATATCCCCAATTCTTATGTGATATCACTTGTTCCTCTCCACTGCTCTCGTTCCACAGCTGCAATTGTAGCATCTCCATTAGCTGTCTTCACACAGTCATGGGCGACTTGCATTTATATGTTCCATAGGTGTCACACTTTGTTATGTACACACTGTTCCAGTTGTCAAAACAAATTAGCATCTAGGTTACCTCGACCAGAATAACAAAAAATGTATTCCAGGCATCAGTACCAGCTGGACTCTACAGGTACTGGAGGGTAAGAGCATGTTGCAGTATTCATCATATTTCATGACTAATCATAACTGACCCCTGGTGTGCACTGTATCTTGAGCACACCTGTCAACATGCTATGTATCGCTGACACAAATAACTGCAGAGAAGCATATTTTCAAAAACTAGGCCCCTCAAAACATACCGTGTATCACATTTTTTACTTGTTTTCAACTTGGAATCATGCTATGTATCTTCTGAGCCAACATAACTTTGATTTGGGGGCCGTGCCATAGATCAGATGGTTAGTTGCTGGGTTTCCATTGCGGCAGCCCAGGTCATGTCATGTGGGATTTGTGGTGGACAAAGTGGCACTGGGGCAGGTATTCTCCCAAGTACTTCGGTTTCCTCTGCCAATTCTTATTTCACCATTTGCTCCACAACCATCATCATCTATCATCTGGGGCTGGCACAACAGGCCAATATTGGCTGCAGTACCAAGTGAACTCAGTCTCACCCCACTAAGAATAATAATAATAAAAAAATAATATTTTCAATTTGTCTATAAAATTGCCAGTTCGATACTACTATTTGCATATTATATGTAACGATTGTTTCATTAATATTTATTGATTCATAAAATAAAACAAAATAATTTGTATATAAATCCAAATACACAGCATTCGTGCCTTCCCACACTGTGACAAAACTCTGATTTTCAAGTTTCCTTTTATGTGGTAAATATGAAAACAGAGATTCATACCAGGGCAGATTATACATTTCAAGCATATATATTTGGTAATAGTTTCTTCCTCATCCTAAGCTCACACCACACAAGGTTGATTTTACAGTAGGACAATTATTGTGTTGTCCTCCAAGATAGAATATTTAACTGGCATGTCAATGTGGTGGATTTAAAATGAGCTTTCTTGTGGTTCAATTTCTAACAGTTCTGAACCAACAAAATTTTCAATGATTTATTTTTCTACTGCGGGATAAAATGATGTAGCTATTCAACATTGTAGCATGTACACCCACCGCTGGGCAATGACTGTGAGATAAGCAAATATACAAGAGCTGTTGCTGAGTAACAGGTTCACAAACAGACATGTTCCCATGGAAATTAACTACAACAATGAGGGGTGATGTCTTCTACATGGTCCAAGCCAAGATGTTATAACTGGGACAAGTTGGGAGCAGCAGTTAGTCAGTAAGTGAAGAGAAGAGTAGAAGGTTGATGTGAGATGGCTGCCAGCCTGGGAGTTAGACAGTTGTAGGATATTCACCAACCAGTAAGAACATAAGCAGAGGACTATAACCCCTGAAAACACTTCCATTTTCTCATTAGATAACAATCTAGCAGGTTATTGTCAGATACTTCTGACTGGTGGTCTACCATATCCCCTCACTTTACTCCTACTCACCCCATTATAAAAGCACATAAGAAACTTTTATTAATGTGTATCACCCTGTCATTACCCTTGTGGGATGTCACTATATGAAGAGACAACTACTTACTGGACTGTTCTATAATATTTATTACAGTTGCACAGTATACACAGACAAACTTGAGTTTTAAGAACTGAAGAATAGTAAAATTAATCATAGTGAACTCTGTAACACCTTGAACTTTGTATTGAAATGAAACACTGAACTAGAACTGTCAGACTGTCAAAGTCAAAGTCACATTGCGACTGACGGTCAGTCAGTCTGTCTTGATGTCAAGCCCCAGCTAGGGCTCATGACCAGATTTTTTTTGTTTTTTTTCTTATATGAAAGTTACTGTCCTGTCCATTTGGGGTGCCCTCTCTGACAAGAGATCGGTTCTGTCATTTGTTAGTCATAGTTGATAGTATTGGTCCATTGTCACTATGTACACTTATTTACAATTCAGTCTTAATATCTAGTATGCATAATATATACAAGGCCTCTGTCAGTCCAGGCTCAGTACAGCAGACTATGCCCTATTTCTAGTAGTATTCACTACCACAGCAGTCTAGTCACTTGAACGGTCGTATGCCTGACTGCTGCCAAGTTTAAGTGTTGCAAACATTCTCATTATCATGATTTTGTATGGTTGCCTGCATAATTTTGTTATCTAGTCATATACATATGGGATTTTGAATGCCACGTGCAAATTGCGGACCAGTGTGCGCCTTGGAGAACCTTGTTTTGCAGGCGCTGCAATTTCATTAGATGGGTGTCTGCCGCAAACTCCCAGGTGGGACTAGCATAAGTCGTTACGGATCTAACAAGAGCTTTGTGGAGGGTCAGTTGTCGAACTGCCACTCACTGTATCTTCTTATATAACCTAGTCAGACCTACAGAAAACATGTCGCTGTCCATACTGTTATAGGCTTTGTCTAGCAACAGCTGTTTACTCACTTTGCTTAGCAAACATTTGCTTGAATGTGGGCACTTCCCACATCGTAATAAAGTAACTACCTGGACAGTGTGTTGGAAACTTCTTACGGACAGATCGATTTTTTCTCCCCCCCCCCACACACACACACACATATTTAGCAGAACACTGAGAAGTTGTTTAATTTTTATATCATTCTGATTCATTCACAAGCCACTATCTTGGAGATGAAAATAAAACACACAAGTGGTAATAGAATATTGACAGAGCTGTCACATGAACTAAACATGACAAACATGGAACTGACAACCCTATTAGGATAAGTGTAAGTAACTCAAATCTAGGAAAGATAATAGAAATCTGTTTGGAGCAATAGGAAACAGAATCTGACATAAATGTTATAGGGTGACTCTAAATAAAGGAGTATTCTAACTAACTCCAGGGAGCTGGGTCCTTCTTGAGAAGCTACCAGTCACTTACTCAAGAAATTCCCAACATTTTTGAACCTGAAGGTTAATTGCTGTGTTCACACTAGCTCTCCTCTGGTCCCCATCCTAAGCCAGATGAATCCAGTCCATATCACCCCCCATCCTATTTCGCTAAGATCCATTTCAGTATTATCCTCCCATCTAGTGGCCTTGATAATTACTAGTCAGTTTTATTGCCCTTCTTGTAAATTGGTTCAATAATAGACTCTTCCACTGTCAAGGCAGTTCCTTATAACAAACAGAAACATGGGTTCATGGATCTGAAACATAATGTTTCATGTCCTGCTTGAATCATTTCTGCCAGAATTTGATCAGCACCTGCTGATTTATACTTTTCAAACTTTGCAATGGCAGTTCAAACTCAAAAGAACTAGGGCTAGGTAATAATGGCTCATCTCTATAAACTTTTCTCTGCCTAACATCACTGGACCTATGTACATTCAGTACATGAGAGAAGTGTTTCTTCCACCTATTCAAATGTTGTGGGAATCTGTAAGATCACCATTCATATTCTTTACCAAGTTAGTTATAGGCTGGTAACCCTCCTTAACCCTTCAGCGTGGTTTGCCATATACGGTATGCTGGTATTTAAATGGTCCTACCTGCGGTTTGCTGTACACCGTACGCCAAGCTGTAAGCTTAATTTCGAAGGCCCATAAATATGGAATGAACCACACCAGCATGATGACGATTGCACTGGGCTGTTGTGAAAAGAATGCGCTCTCTGTTCATGTAAACATAACGTTCAGCTCTGCCAGTCAGTCTAAATAGAACGCCGACCTCATAGTTGCGATGGCCGAGTGACTATGATATCAACATACCACAAAGATGATATGTGTGTGGTTGTGAATAAAGCAAACAAACAGGAAACAAAGCCCTTGGTTGTTTGTGATTACAACAAAAACATGCTAGGAGTGGATCTGACAGATCAAATGCTACAGCTGTACTTGCTTGAAGGAAAGAAGAGTACTAAGTGGTATCAGAAGTTATTCAAGACATTATTCAATGTAGCAATACATAACGCAATGGTCATATATCGGTGTCTCCCGAATAACAAAAACATGGGCACGCTAAAGTTCAGACTTTCACTAGCACAAGGCCTCATGGAAAATCACGGTTCTGGTTTCCCTCATCCTGTATATGGCCGTCTGTCAGTTGAGCCACTGCCTAAGAGACTCACAGAACGACATTTCCTGAAGCATATTCCAGCCAAAGGGAAAAAGCAAAGGCTCAAAAAAGATATGTGGTGTGCGCAAAACATGGTAAAAGGAAAGAATTTATTTTTGGTGTAGTGAATGTGAGGTAGGGTTGTGTTTATATGGATGTTTCAAGAAATACCATACGAAACTCAATTTCTAATCCACTTGCTTCCATCGCTCAGATACAGGGCACTCATATTATAAGGTAAGATTATAAAACCATCTTTTAAGATGATTTCAGTGAAAAATTCATAATTATACTTCATATAGTTCAAAAGTTATGATACATAATTTAGAGCAAAATTTAAATGGGCAATTAAAAAATACTACCACAGGAGGCCCCACAACAGTGATATTTAAATGCCTGTGCTGAAGGGTTAAATTCATGTATTGGTGTAATCTGGAATATTCTGATTCTTACTCTATTTCAAGCTCATTAATTTTGTCTTTCAGATATTTCCTCTTTTTGTTCCTGAAATGCCTGCTAGTTTCACGCCTTACATTACTGACACAAAAATGTAATGAACAGCTAACTGGATCAGGACCAGGGTTCAACACCATAATGGAGTGCACAAATGATAAAGGGTTAAGGGTTCAGTGCTAATGGCTGTTATCAGACAAATTCAATATCATCTCAAGAGTCAAAATTTCATTGCTTTAGACATTACATACATACCAGCGGGAAAGTTTCTTTGGCAGCAGAAAAATAATTACTCCTTTTTCTAACAATATCAATTGCTTTATTTACTTATAGTGATAGGAAGCTTCATTCTTTTATCTAAATTAGTAAGCCATACTAGAAGACATTATAAAATTAAAAATTGAAAGACATGACCAATTACATCAACCGTCTGGCTTCCAGATAAAAATGTTGTGAAATTTAACACACCCAGACATTCCTGGTGCAAGTTACACTTTTAAAATAGAAAATGTTGTTAATATCCACTTCAGTATAAATATCACCTCAGCCGGCAAGAGAAAAAAAATATATAAATGAACTATCTTGAACAACAAAAAATTATTTTAGTATTAGATGAGCAAGAAAGCAAAGAACAGAATCTGAAAACTGCTAAATGTCAAGACTTGTTATGTACACAGTTTTCACTGACTATATAACTGTTTCTCAGAAGGGAAGCACCATGATTGTAGCTCTGGTACAAGCGGCTACAACAAGAGAAGTAATGAATTTGTTGCAATTACAGATTTAAAAAGAAATGTAGGAAACTTCATTTAATAAGCACTAGTTAATAAAAGATTATGTCGATTGGTTGGTTCAAAGAATGGCAATGAGATGGCAAAACTGGAGCTCTGGATTCTTGGCAAGTATAAGTTATTTCACAATATTTGCTCTGTGAGCATCATCCATCATTTCTGTCTGACTGCCTGTCTACAATCATCACAACAAATAATACAAATAATACACATATATATATATACCACAAAATGTGTACCATATTCAATGCATTGAAAGGCATTAGCAAGTACTCACTTTCATTAAACCTTACTCTTATTATATATTCACATATTTATATTCTTACACATGAGAATATTTGTGTACTTTTTAAGCATGAAACAAATATTAACATTCTTTGTTCTTTCAGCTAATATCCATATGCAGGTGAATATGATACACAGTTCTGATTATACAACAATGTATGCTCACTATATAGTCTGATAATTTAAGCTAATTTACAGTTCTGTACAAAATACACATATCTTCATTCTTATTGAAAGGATTTGAAGGAGGCATGAATTTTCTCCTGATTGAATGAATGAGATAGGAACATTACTTCAAGCATTACATTGTCATCAAGGGATCAGTCTTGGTCCTTGAAGCGGCGATACACAGACTGGACATATGTGAAGACACATTTCCAGTCAGGTTTACGCATAATCACCATGTCCTCAACGTCCAGCAGAGGCGCAATCCCGGCCTTTTCACTGAAAAATAGAGAAGGCATTATCAATAAACTTCTTGTTTCCAGTCAGGGTTTGGTGAAGTTTCAAGATTAAATCATGTACAGATTTCAAACTTACAAATCAAGGGAATATTTTAAGGCAGAAACTTTGCCTATCTAGCAGTCAACCCAATAGGACACAAAAAAACTACAATTTCTAATTTCTAATTATTATGCATTTCATCACTGCTCACTTATTTTATGTTTCAGAGAGCAGCCATTGTGAAAATGGAACTAAAATAAATGAGTAAGAACTGAAATTAATGGTAACAAACAAGAAATCTACCACTATAAAAATTACATATCCACAATGAGAGATCCACCATTCTACAGTATACCATCAGGTGAAGTAAAGGTAAAGTAGCACATGTGCTTAATTTTTTAAGCAGTATGCCATGAAGACATAGTTGGAGGGGGGGGCACAGATTCACCATTCTTGACCTTGGCACTAGATGGAGTTGAGTGGTCAGTTTCATGCCCTGGTTGACTTACCCCCAGGGAAACCACCCCTGGTACCAACTGGGTAGGTGGTTGGGTGGACCCCAGAGCAGGTCTGAACACAGTGGAGAAGAGAAAATCTTGACCCTGCCAGGAATCGAACCCTGGCTGGCAAGCCCACAGCCTGTCACTATACTGACAGCTATCCCAACTCCATAGTACACCACCAAGGTTGGAAAATAGAAAGTGCACTTGAGAGATGAGGTTTTTACAGTAGTGACCATGAAGAGTCTTCTCTTCTTGGATGTGATGAAATGCAGTCTGGCAGAGGTTTACAGAAGTTTTAGAGGACTATACTGCCTCCATCTTCAGGGCCAAAGGGTTAGCCCAGCAAGCACCAAGATTTAATATCACGTGCCTCTCACCATATAACCAAGCAAAGAACTATTACTTTCTTCAACTGGTATCTGCTGCTGATGTCAGTATGCAATGTTCACCAAAAATATCTTCAAATGTAACTTACTCAGCTACTCGGAAAGCAAGCTCAAAGTTCTTCCGCCGCTCCTCGGGCCTAAGGGAATCATACTCAAAAGCATCAGGGAGAAAATGATGGATAAGTGCACAAAATGCCAGACCACTGCTCCAGCTTGTTGAAAAGTTTTCTATTTGAACGTTCTGTAACAGACACAAAAAACTAAAGAGCATTTGGGAATATACAACCTGTACTCATATTATACATGTATTATTTTCAACAGAGTTAATTACTGTGATTATATTACAATTTGATTCAAATAAGTGACAGGCCAAGTTTTTAAATTATCTCCAATTATAGAAAAATTATACATATGCACACAATTCTTTTTGTAACTTACATTCAGCAATATATTCTAAATACATACACTACAATTTACATTCTTATCATTATTTATTCACATCAGAGAATATATATGCAATGCTAAGTTTCACGTCATGCAACACTCTTTCTAAAGTATACTCAAGCCCAAAATATAGAATCACTTCACTGTTAAATAAACAACTATTTCAGATTCATTACATAAAAACAAACATTTTCCCAACATCCACTGGCTTATAACTAAGTTATGAAGGGCATTCCCTAAATAATGCCTCCTATTTTTTTGTGTTAATATGTAACATCTGAGATGGATGTTGGTGTTGTAGTAAAGGTTGATCCTTCCCGCCAATGTACTGTTAGTTTGGTTGACGTGCGACAGACAGCGACAGCAGAGCAATCTACCAAAATAGTGTCTGACATAGAAGTGCGTATGAAACAGAGATGTGTTATTGAAATTCTCACTGCCAAACAAATTGTACCCACTGACATCCATCGACGCTTGCTGAAGGTGTACAGAGACAATACAGTGGATGTCAGCACAGTGAGGCAGTGGGTAGTGTGTTTCAACAGTGGTGAAAGTGAAGTGCATGACAAGCCACTCCCTGGGCATTCCTGCTCAGATGCTACTCCTCACAATGAACAGCGCCTTATCCATACGAATCGGCAGATAACGACCAGGGAACTGTGTGCACAGCTTAATATCGGTTGTAATGCATTGGAAACGATGTTGGGGGAAGCTGGATTATCGCAGAATTTGTTCCAGGTGGGTCGCGTGGATGCTTACACAGGACCACAAAACTCATCGAATTGAAGTTTGTCAGGACCTGTTGCAACAGTTTGAGGGTGAAGGTGACAAGTTTCTGGACAGCATCGTCATCGGAGATGAGACGTGGGGTCACCACTATGAGCTCGAATCCAAAAGACAGTCCATGGAGTGGAGACATCCAGATTCCCCAAGAAAAAAGAAGTTCAAGACACGACCATCAGCAGGGAAAGTGATGTGCATGGTCTTCTGGGATAGGCGGGGTGTGATTTTCTTGGATTTCCTGGAGCCTGGTGAGATTGTCCATTCTGAACGCTACAAGATGCTGACTAAGCTGAAAGCCTGCATTCCCCAAGTCAGGCCAGAGAAGCAGACAACCTTTCGCTTGCAACAGGATAACGCTAGACCCCATACCAGTTTGGCGACCGCTGCGCACATTGCAAAGTTTGGCTGGACTGTCCTACCACATCCACCTTATAGCCCCGGTTTAGCACCTTCAGATTTCCATCTCTTTGGGCCTATGAAAGATGGACTACGTGGGCAACATTTTCCAGGCAATGATGCTGTCATTGCAGCTGTAAGGAAGTGGCTAGCCTCTGCTGGCACAGACTTACAGGTGCAACATACAGGCTTTTGTTCATCACTGGCAAAAGTGCATAATGAATGGTGGTGATTATGTGGAAAAATAACTTAAGTAGCTGAAATATTGCTCTATTTAACTGCGTTATGCTTTCTGTATCTGTTGTAGTTTTCTTTAAAAAAAATAGGAGGCATTATATACGGAACGCTCCTTGTATTAAATACAAGGAGATTCAGTGTTTAAAAAACAGTGACTTACAAATGCATGAAATTAAATGGATTATGAAACTGAGCTCACAATCCAAATTTGTATTGATTTGTAGTTTGCTGGAAATTCATCCCATGGATTATTGGTAATACGTGCTTATCTGCGAGTTTCAGAAAAACCTACTGATATTTGCCTTTTCTGTTTATATTTATTACTTCTTGTATTAAACAATTTTATAGAGTAACTCTGGTATTAGAACACAGTTTTCAATTTGTTAACTTTTTCCCCCCACTGAAATGAACAATATGGGGGGTGAGAACTCTAATATAAGGCACACATCTTCCTGACTGACACCACAGTGTTTAAATTTTTGATGAATAATATATTTTGCTTCTGATAAGTGTACTCCTCATAACAAGCACAACAGAAGTTACATGGAACAACACAGAAATGAAATTTGAAAATAAAATGGATATTTAAGGGATAATAATTTGTAAATTTTCTTTGTAAATAGCCCAGACTTAGCAAGATAGACACCTCTAACCATTTTTTCTACATGCTTATAGTGCATTCATAAAACAACTTACCTTGGAAGCTTTCAGGAAAAAAAAAAGAACTGCAATTCACATTCAATTTCCATGCAGTTGTAACAAACACACTTACAGAGATGTGATGCGCATATTACATGAGATATGACACACTGATTAACAGATCTGATCTGATGATACTAGAAAATATTTATCAAACTTCCACATTACCCATGAGTGTAACATCATTCTTTAAAATAATGAAAGTGAGAAAATGTGTTAATTCACAAATTTTATGACACCATCCATAAGGCAGCAAGTTGATTTCTAACATTATAACACACAAGCTGTAAAGAGATATTCCACCACATCTTTTCACAAGCAATGAAGTATGCTGTTATGGCATTCAGTACAGAATATTACACAGAAACACTACAAATTTAATATAAGGACTGTCTCCATGCTTTAAATCTACTACTGGGATTTCCGAACATCGTGCTGAGTCATGTGTGTGTATGTCTGTACAAAGCCATGCATGAGACAGATGAGCTAGTGTTACTGTTATACCTTGTATTCCTTGGTCTTGCTCTGACACCAGAATAGAAGCCTGTCCTTGACCCCCGAAGCACTCCGACTCAGCTTAGGGTCCGTGAATTTAAAAAGGGGGGCTGCAGTTGTACCCCCAGGGGTCTTAGGGGAGCTGCAGGCACAGGGGAGGCACAGACAATGTCAAGAGTTGCTCTTGGTTAGTTAGGAGAAAATTACAGAGCCAATGTTAGGATGCAGTGCTGTTTCATTTAGAGGAAGATCCTGTATTATCAGTAGCAATTTAATTCAAACTTTTATTTTCTTTTTGGTTTCAGCACCTCAGTGCATGTTGTGATACATAGTTCTTCAAATGATGAAATTCTCTGCTGTTAGAGAAGCAAGACATCCATAAATGCCATCCAAAGGCATACTACCCAAAATTTTCATATATTTAAAAACAATGTTAAAAATATTCTTCTCTGCAATCAAACAATTTGAATATAACTTACAGCAACAAGTTTGTTCAAGAAATGTTTGATGCCAAGGAATTAATGTGTAAATTTCATGAATTTTTCACGAGTGCTTTTTTCACCCAGATTGAGATCCAATGTTTTGGATACAATCAATTCACAGAAATTTCTAATAAAGCAACAGGATCTGTGTTAATTCATAATCACATAAATATGATGGGGGAAAAAAAACAGTATGCAAATTATGAGTCACTAGGTTTCAGTTATAAGGTGAAATAAATTCTTTAAGTTGATATTTTAAGGTACTACAGTTTCTGTAGAATTCTATGTGAGGTGTCCATTTGCACTTATCTCAGGTAATATGAGAACAATGCTTGGGCTTTGTTTTAATGTATCTGAAATACAGGAACAATTACATTTTACAGTTCACTCTGCAGTTACTAGCATTAGCTCTGCACTACTCTTGAAAGAAATTAAGCAAGAGGCAGCTAGGGAATATGTAAGCACCACAATTAAGACAGGAAACCCTCTGCTTGAAGCCAGCCAAAGTGAATCAAGCCTACCTCATTGTTTGCTCAGGGTCTAGTTTGTAGTAAAAGTATGTGAAGCTATTCAACCAGCATCAACCATAACAGCTCATACACTATGCATTAGTGCTCCAAAACAACTTGGCATAATGTAAATACCTCATACCACTTGCCACTTGCCACTATTGTTTGCTTTTTCCACAAATGCAATAAGTTTGTTTTATTTGGTCAAACCTAAAATGTAATCAAAGACTCCCAAGAGAGAGAATTTGAAGTGATTGATGCTGGTGGAACAGCTTCAGAAGTGAATATAGGGACAATTAAATGTTTCTATACAGCATACATTTTGTTTTTATAATGGTCATATTCTTTACCATGTGAGATAACCATTATATAGATTTAGCTGGGCGCTGTCCTTGATTTTTTCTGTTTGTTGTGTTGTGACGGTCAATAAAGAGTTGTACATTATATAGATTTGTTATGGTGAAGAATGCGTTCATAAAATGAAATACAGAACCTGTCCTCCGACCAAGCACTTCTGAGCTACACCACTAATAGAAATAGAAATTAAATTATCTAAATCGATATTTCAGTTCAGTTTTTATGGAAGTTGCACTGGGTCCCTAGTTGAAAATTTTAATGAACAGTTTTTCATACTGGATGCCAAATGATTAATTAAAAAAAACATTCAAAGAGTTCCTTTTGTCACATACCTCCTACTATATTCATTGTTTTGTAAACTGTGCTGTGCATCAATTAACATCATCTTAAATATCAAGTTATAATACTTCTTGTAGAATAATTATAAATAATTTCCCATTTATGTAAAATGAAGTGTTCTGTGCTTGCTCTACTATGACTTGCTTAGTGTATCTGTTTGTACGCTGACTTGTTTCACATCATAAGTAACCAGCATTCATGGAATGCATGTAATTGATTGACTGATCAACCAATCATTCAACCAAACCATTAATCAATTCATATATTGAAGGAAGTCCCAAATTCGGTCACATACTGATGATTGTGACTACCTGACTTGCTAACTTTTATCCTCACAGAACTGTTTCTGGCTGCAACATATCGTTTCACATCCACGCTTTATTCACTGCTCCTGAAACTGCCTGTAAAGCATTAATTTTGTTGAAATAAACTTTTCCAGGAAAAAATAGAAAATCAGTAAAATAAAATTCTATCTGCATCTGCAATACAATTTTAACTCCCTTACATACTTTCAATTCTGTGCTTCTACACAGATGTAAAATGCAGATTAATCTCCACAGATACATAAGCTAGAGCCTTGTAAATATACATAACTTAAGTATGAAATATGTAAGTGTAGCTATGAAGGTTGCATGTGATTTGTCATGGTTGATGTTGGATTGCAAGTTAAATTACAGAATTTGAATGAGAAGAGTTTGGGGATTAGATGAAGAGAGGCTTCCCTGTGTAGAATTGTGTTGAGTTTTCCCCAACTGTCTGTTACACAACCAAGAGCAGCATTAGTTAATTTTCTTAATTCCCTCAGGTACTTACATCTGATGTTATATGAAAGAATTCCAACAGCACAGTACAGTATATATAAATTAAAGCATTAAATCCAAAAATTTTAATCTCTTTCTTTTTCTCCTGGAAATTTGAAAAATGTCTTCTACTCCTAATGTGAGTGATTTTAGAATACAATGCACATTACTACAATAGTGGTTGTAAGTTGCACTTATACATTTTTCCTAGAGTTAATGGAAGATTTCTAGAGAAACTGGAGAATACCTAAAAAATAATGTTATTAGCCTTTTAGAAGGAAATAAATCTACATGTTTTACTTTTCAGTACAGGTTCATTTTCATCATGCCACTTGATTTTCATGAAAAATAAAATAGAAATATATATACTGATGACTTGCTCAAATTACAATGGGCAGTGGGTTCATCGTTTCAGTAAGTGATATAAAACTACCATGTTGATTAGTGATTACATATCTACTGTATCACTACACTTTTATTGTAGAATAAAAATAAATAATTCAACCAATTTTTTTTGTGTGTTGCCTTATCTCCTGCTTCCTACAAATGTGTCATTCTGCATCTAATAATTTAGATGTCGCTTCTGAGTTTCTCACAGTGGTGCTCATGGGGAGTTCTATCTTCTGTGCTATAATGCCATGTAATCCACTGAAAGTCAACCAGCATTTTGGAGGAACATGTTGCCTCCATCTTCAGAGTAGAAAAATAAGCCAAGCAAGAAACCACCATTCAGCTGGTAACAAACTGAGCAATCAGCTGGACGAAATTTTGTTCTATTCAGGAACCAGGAGGGAATAGATGAGCCAAGGGGAATTTATTTGTTGTCTTACATTTCTCTCCTGGTTCCTACACAAACCAATATTTAAGCAAGCTGACTGCTCTTCTTGCTACCTGTTTCATGCTGGTTTCTTGCTTAGCTTATTCTTTGACCCTGAACATGATGGCGGCGTTCCTCCAAAATGTCAGTTAACTTTCAGTGAACTATACAGTTTTCTATCCCAGTAGAAAGAACTCTTCATAATTTAAATGTCATCTACACACCACATTCAGAACAAACATGAAACTGGACTCTAACATGCAGCAAAGGATTAAGTAGTGCCCTCTGTCCCATTTTTATTTATATCTGAATGGATAAAGAAAGATAAAAGGATTTTAACTGAAGAATAACTAACTTTCCATAATATGTGGTCTCTCCTATGCAGTTTTTAGAAGTCTGCTTCTGTTGTAAGTGTGACTGACTTTAAAACAATGCATCACAAAGAATTTTGATCAGGTACACATATAAGCAACATGTTACCCCCATCAAACATGACACCATATTGCAGTTTGAGCACATGATAAGATAAAAGAATAGATATTAGAAGATACTTATACCAGCAAATTTATAGTATGTACCCTGTTAATATGAGTTCCAAGTTGTAAAGATAGGATCTACTGCATATTGCTTCATTTAAATACAGCACATAACATAGCATGCTCTCCACAGTACATGGGCAATGTAACTAACTGACTCTTCCAGCAATGTACCATGTACTCACAGAAGTAGCTTATGAAAGGGGGCAGATGTAGACGCAGAGTCTGCATGTTTTCATGTTATGTAAAAGAATAACAAATTAAATAAATTTTCTGTATGGGAAAAAACTGTTGTAACACTGGGCTGTACTGTCTGTAATTTTTTTAAATTTTTAGCTGTAAACGCATCAATATCAACCTATAACACACAGATGCAACTGCAACATGATGCATATCTTCAAAATGTAATACATCAACCAACCTTCAGTGATCATGTTCATTGTCATTTTGCAGTTCAGTAAAAGGGGGAGTTACTAGTATATATATTCTTTTATGAAGGACATCATACATGACAGCTGAATTCTGCTATTCAGCATGTATGCCTTGTATATGCATACACAATCTTAATCTCTAGCTTCTGTGTAGGAAGTCTCCCCTAGTGAATAATCAGAGATCACCACAGGATAGCCTCTGACCCTATCGAGTACTACGTATATTTTTAACTGAAATTTTAATAGCTATAGAAGGAAATGACCATTTTCATATACAGTATCAAAGTTTGATATTTTCTGCTCATTTGGAATATTTATCTCTTAGCTCAGTTTGTTTTACAGGATTGATTCTTACTTAATTGTCTGTAGCCAAAACTGCACTGGAAAATTTCAGTTGCTTTATGGGTCATCAAAATTTGATTTTAATACAGTGTAAGATGTGAAATGCTAAAATTATGTCCTTATGAAAAATAAATTACAATGTCAAATTCTTGCACTTTATCTCATCTGCAATTGGTAAACTATGTCTTGAATGATCTGACTCATGTTATGAAGTACTCCATCAGAGTATTCTATATAACAATAGCACTTATGTTTTAAAGTAATTTTACAGAACAGTACTATAATAGCCAATGGCCTGATGACATCAGTTATTCTGAGGCTAAATCAGGGTAACCAACATGGAAGTGACAAGAGAGGGCCATAGCATGCGTCTCACCTGGGTGCTGATTGGGACGAACTCTGACGGTCCAGCTGCTGGAACTTGGCGAAGGGGGACATCGCCTTTCCAAGGGGGGCTGTAGGGGGGACACGCCAGTCAGACAACAAACCACACAGCACACATCCAAACAGGCTATACACAGTACAGAGCTCAATTCCGTTTTAGAACTGGATAAGTCATATGGCAGACTGGTTCTAGGCCTCATCTAACCTCCCAGTCAATGGGTACTAGGGTCTTTCTCTAAAGGTAAAGCAGTATGAGTATGAAGCCAAGAGTTGAGGTCAAGAATGCATGGAGGTTTACTTCTACTCCCCTCTACATCTTACACTTCAATTAATATGGTTTCAAGAAAAAGGACAGAGAATTTAATCTCTGTAATTATGAGGTTAAGCGATTCACCCCATCTATAACAGAAGCTAAATAAAGGTAAGCTGATAAAGAACTCAGTCTTTTACACAGAACTGGACAAAAATTGAAACAAAAACCATTTTGCTCATAGATGTGATGGGCATAGAACAGTCACCTTTGTAGAGAAACAAAACTGGTAGATCCCTCTTTCATGATGTTTGGTGAAGTTTATGGATATTACCACTACTTTTGCAACAAACTTAACCTTTTCCTTCCTAAGATCGTCCATCAATATAACATACTACAGTTATAACTGTAATTTTATCACTGTTTCACTTTTTCTGAATGTGACAAAAGCAAAACCAATACTTTCACCAAATATTTTCTTACTATATACATTACAATCATGGTGCAACAGGTCTGTCTGTTCAGTAGCAACTATTTTATGTTATCCTGTGAGTAAAAGTGACAGAACTTCACCTTGAACAACCAGTCTCTGGTTAAAGTGGTATTTCTTACCGAACATTCAAAATATTTTCATCACTAATGTGTGTTCCTATGTGTACACATAACATGAAGTTATACAGGGGGTACAGAGTATAGCTCACGTATTCTAGACCTTTGCAGTAGTTTCAGCTGAGTGGCCAGCTTCATGATCTAGCTGCATATCTTCAAGGAAAGAACCACTGGTAATTACCGGATAGGAAGCTGGTTGAGACCCAATATTGGTCATGATGCGGCAAGAAGAAAAATTATCTCTTTCACCAGGAACTAAACCTCACTCATCCAGGCTGAAGCCAGTCACTTTGCAGACTGAGCTACCTTCATTTTTAAATTATATTCTAAACAACAGTAATTGAGCTCAGTAAACTGTCACACTAAAATTAAGAAGGGAACACAATCTAAACGTTCAATTTGTGATGTGTGACATGTTACTTCACACTAATATATAAATCTGGAGTTTGAAGTCCAAAATATTTTACATATTGTCTAACAAATGTGTAAAAGATAAATGGGTAGTATCGTAATGTTCTGGGGGACAAACAACACAGAAACAGAAACACATGCAAATACATGTCACAATGGCTGAAACTTATCTACAGGTATATGTGTATATAACCATTTGAAATTCATGACACTCACTATAAAAATTTTAGTGGCTGCTAACTACAGTGCAATATCAAGCTTATTACAGCCTTTGAAAACACAAGTGGTAGATCTTTGATTCACTTCAAAATTAACAATAGAAAATAGCGTCGGGGCCCCATCTGAAAGGATAGCCATCAATGCACTGGGACCCCTTCTACAGAGGGACCAAGGAAAGTGATACCTCCTGATCGCTATGGATTATTTTACCAAGTGACCGGAAGCCTATTCTATTCCAAATTAAGAGGTTTTGACTGTGGTGGGAGCACTGGTTACCAACTTTGTCTGCTGCTTTGGAGTACTGAGGGGGTTACATAATGATCAGGGCTGTAACTTCGAGTCTAATTAGATACAGGAGGTTTTGCAAAGCCTGGGAGCGAGAAAGATGCACACCATGCCCCTGCACCCATGGTCAGATAACATCGTGGAACACATCAAAACAGTCAAGGAGCACCTATGGAAAATCACTGCATCGCATCAGAGGGCTTGGTAAGCATGATTATCTATCTTCTTCCTGGCTTACAGGGCATCCACTATGGGCTTGAACCCAGCTAGCCTAGTGTTCAGGCAAGAACTCCAATTGTCCTGTGACCTGCTGTTTGGGGCACCCCTGACAAGAAATGACAATCACATCATGCAGAAAATTTAGTGGACCATCTACAGGACATCCACAATTATGCCAGCCAACACCTGAAGCTGGCCAGTGACCAGTGACTCATGACAGACTGGCCAACTGTGTGGGCTATCATGAGGGTGACAGAGTGTGCCTCTATTGCCCAACCCACATGAAGAGGAAGTCACCCAAGCTCCAATCCTAATGGGAAGGTCCATATAAGGTAGTCACCCAGATAAATGATGTGGTATGCAGGATCCAGTGGAACCCTAGATCAAAGATGATGGTGGTACAGCTGGACCGGCTCGCACCATATCAGGGAGCTACTTGGGACAACTGACAACAGCGGGAGCAGTTTGTGAGCAAACACCATGCAAACCGAGTCACAGGGAGGAAGAGGAGACAAATCAGATGTAAAAATGCAGACCTCAGAAAAGAAATGGCAGTATGCCTGTAGGCTATTAGGGATGAATAGCCTTAAGGAGGGAGCAATGTGGAATACAGACCTGTTGCTAAACAGTAACACTGTAAACAGTGGTTACTGCAAGATAATGCCTGCAACCATAGAAGAATGGTGTTTTCTGTTTTTAAAAAACTTTAAAAAGTTTTAACACCAGGAAGGCTGCTGTGAATGTGAAAGGATGAACACTGTGTACATTGTGCATTTCAGACATTATATGTGTATGTATATAATTAACATCTATTGTAACAGAAGTTTCCAAAAAAGTGCTGATGCCCTCTGAGGATGATCCGTAGGGATCGAAACATGTAAGGGTGATGAGTCTTCAAATGATAAAACTTAAATAGTCACATTAGACGGTGTTATTTTTGTCTTTGTAATTGTTAGTGTGACGGACCAGAATGAAACAAAAAAAAAAAAAAAGGGCAATAAATCATGTCACCAATCCAAACCCTGTCTATAGTCACACATACACATGACAATTATTTTAAATAAACAGTTTAGGCATGCTCGTAACAGATTTGTGCTGCATAGTGTGAAATAAACAGAGTAACAGTTAACTTAATTCTCACTGATATTTGAAAGGAATACAAAACAAAAAAAAATAATTTTTATGATTTTGTATAAATTTTGTACAACAGTTTGATTCAATCAGTAGACCTCTACCACTTATGTGCACAATGGCTCAGGTTAGCCTGTGTGTTGATATCCAACAACACTGGGCTATTCTACATTAGCCAGACAGCTACCTGCTACAGATCTAAAGAATAATTTGGAATTTAAAGGCTTACAGAAATAGGAGCTGACCAGGTCTAACACATCTGAGTTCATAGTCATGACACAAGCCCGCAATGGAAAGAAAACAGAAACATACATGTTATAGTGGAAACAAGTTTTCTAGCACAAATCTAAGTTGCCCTATGGAATCGTTTAAAAGGTTTATGCGCTACCTCACCATGATTTCATCCTATTACACATTTACGTCTATAAAGAAGCAGCTGATGAAATTACTTCTTATCCACATAAGGCTAGTTTTCTTCACACAGTGCAGTGAAGCGAAGTGAAGTGGAAATGATGGTATATAACTGGAGGAAGTAAATACTAAGAGATAGTTAATGGAATATGTATGCTGTCATATAAAATTTGGATGAATTTATTGTAATTTAGCCTTTGTGGACAAATAATTAATAAGACCAGCATACACACAAAGATATTTGGGATTAACAAGTTTCTGAATGTTGTGCATCATCTTAAACTCCGTAAAAATGAATAGTTAACGAAGAAAGTGAAAAGTTGGAGCCTTTGCTAAAACCATCTGTGTAATTTTATCACACTACTTTCTCCTGATGTGAACTGAGTCACGTGACTTTTAGCTTTAAACCCTACAAGGGAATCACAATATGGAGACAAACATGTGCTGTATGTGCTGTCCTGTACTAGACTAGAAAGCAGCTGTCTTCACCACTAAAAAACAACTTGAACTGGGTTGAACATTAATATTTAGGAATACTGATGCTGATTTCTCAACAAATTTTTCTCTAAACAATAATTCATAATGAGACGTGACAATTATACATAGGACTGATCTGTGCAACTGCTAGCAATACTAATTAGCAGAAATGTTAGTGGATCACCTTATCTGATCCAGCGGTTTGTAAAAAATCACTAGAATCCAATTTATTTTCTGGTTGCAGTATGTGATCTATTGATGGAATATTGTTTCTTTGTCAAAAACATGGGCTGTTAAATAAGAAAACCAATACTACACTTTTAATCAGATTGGAGAAAAATGATAACGACATTTACAAAATATCACATGAAGTTTATGTACTAGAAACAATCAGTACATACAGTTTTTCAGGAGGATGAAATTATTTAAAGATGGAGAGGGAGATGTTACAGCTCATGAATGGTCAAGTGGTTTGACAACTTCCAGAGCTCATTGAAATGTGGAGAAACTAACTGAAATGACAACAAATTGTCATCAGTTTACTGTTCAAAAGAAGATGTAATTAAGTTGTGCCAAAATTCTCAAAGGTAAGCAAAATGATAGAAAAGAAATTTGCTCTACGCTTTCAGAAAATTGTTGGAATAATCCAACATTTTGATTTAAAAAGTGATGGTTGATTAGAGTTGTTTCTCCAGCACAAACAGAAAGAATATCATGGCCTCTAATGGAAATAATCAAGGTATTCATGACAAAGGTTAAAATGTGAATATGAAAATTAGAGATCAAAACAGTGCTAATATGCTTTTTGTTACTGATGGTAATAGCCATTATGAACATGAGACTTTTCACTCTCAAAAATACAAAAACCACATGAGAAGGTCCAATTTCGAATAAACTGAATCTAGTTATTCATAGCAATGTACTGGCAATACTGAGATTGGTTGGTGGTGTAACTGTTATACCTCATATTACACCTATATGGAAATTTTAGAAAATATACTAAACATGTGCAAGTCTTTAATTTTCAAGGCTGAATCAAGAAAAATCCTGATTTCAATTTGTTTATTTTTCAGTCTTCAACTCAGAATTTTTTTGATACTTGCTTTGGTTTTGCATGTTGCATCTGATGTCAAAATGGATATATACTGTACTTATATGAATGGAAGACAATGCTTTTTATTATTTTATGGGGTAAAAACTGTGGGTCATGATTTTTTATATTTAAATTTGTTAATGTGTCATGCCAAAGTTTGCACTATATTGTGCTCTGAGAATACCAAGCAAGAGAGGCAGAAATATGACTCAGGGTCAGAAGCCACAAGCTTCCATGAGTTTCCCACCAACTTATAGTGCAAAAACAGGAAGACACAGTACACAAAATCACTAGATTCTGTGCCAATACAAGTATCCATTATAGTAAATATAGCAGATCATGTTACTTAGTTAGTTAGTTATTGGAGAGGGTGGGTTTCCCCCTGCACTTAGACCAGTATTGGTTCACTGTGCTTCCCTCTATGATATTCTACCAGTCACTATATCCTACCGATATTGGTGCGTACCATCAGTCCCGACCGAGCCAGCGAGTTCGGCCTCCACTAGCTGGCGGTATCTATAATGCTTCCCCCATCTATCAGAGGTGTTAGAGACTACTTGTTGGACGGGAAACGTCCTTGATTTTGGCTGTGATCTCCTTAGGAGATATGAGGTTCTTTTACGTGCCATAAAGCTACGACATGGGACCCACGGCTTAGAGTCCCTCCCAGAGGACTTGTTCCCTTAATTTTTCCACCCTTAAAAATTCCACGACCTCTGCCGGGTTTGAACCCGCATACCACGAGTCATGAGGTGGGAACGTTATCTCTAGACTACGGAGGCCGCTTTAGCAGATCATGTTAAGAAAAGAGGTGATAGTGAGAAAGGGAATATTGTGCCAAAAATTATCAAGTACAGTTATAATGGGAACTTTAAGATTACAGTGATTAAATATGTAGAAAAAAGAAACAGCTGTCAAGCAGTAAGAGATGATGTCTGAAGATGGAAACAACAAGAACAGAAATAAAATAGTGCCAATTCTACATGAAAATCATCATTTGTATAGGTAGAAAGGGAGAATGGAAAGTTAGTTTCGTGCACAGAGATGCTAATGGCTATTCAAAACTAGACACACTCCAGATCAATAAAAGAGCCTGAAGAACTGCCAACATACGTTACAAAGGAAATTATAACAGACGTTTATGAATTCTTTCCTACATTATCACTGTTGGAAGTTATGGTTAGAGAGAAAAAGGTGTTCTGCAGTGCAGTCCTGTTCGTGGAGCATTATTAAATTCAACAAGAAGAACCCTTAGAAAGAGCTAACCTCAATCACTGGACAACCTATGTCAGTATAACTACAGCAATGTACCTAATGACCAGGCTTTGTCAGTGGGAGATAGCAGGGAAAATGTACATTAAATACTGTGATACAGCATGCACAGAACTAAAACTAAGATATAAAAGGAGGTGGAAATTCTATGCAACAAACCTAGCATAAAATTATTTCATAAATTTACTTTTTCTGTGCAGGCATGTTTCCTTGTACAAGGCTGTCTTACATTCAGAAACATCTTCCATTCTGACAAATACAATAGTATGTTTACTGCACTGTGAAGAGGTGGCTAGTATTATAAAATGTGTTTACAGTGGAGGGGGGATGGTCTACTACAGAAAATTCTCATTCTCATTTTGATTTTTTAATTTTTTACAAATTTGTCTCATCTTAAACTGAAAGAGTCCTTCTTGCACATGCTTAGAATGAAGAGCTAACATTTGTCATTTCATATATTCTGACATTTAAAATCCTTAAAATGATGGTGTGCATTCTAACTGACATATTATTTCATGCTGAAATATTTACCTTTGGATACTTTGCCTTTCCCCACTGTGGTCGCTGAGAAGCTAGATGTCTTTGTTGTCACTGTAATGAAAATTTCAATGTCAGCCATGTCTGGTTGAAGACCAATCTGGTGGTGGTTAGTTTGAAAGAGTTTGAATTTATCCCCCAATATGGATCCTGTACTGTCTTGCTAAGTAATGAACATTAGCTACAAATTATTCAGTGTAAAATAAACTGTACTAATAGGAGTAATTCTGTGACTCAAAACAAACAAGCAGTTCCAGGCAGAACCCATAAAGCCTACTCTTCTACTGCACATACTTCAAGCCTTACAGATCTTGTGTTGCTAATGTTATAATGTTAAGTTTATAATCAGCAACAGATTATTTAGCTGACAGATTAGTCTACTAGCTAATGAGCAGATGTCACAGGATCTGATTCTACTGGAGTTAGTATTTATTTTATTCCTTGCAATTGTGATGTCACACACAGACAACTGTTATGATTATAATCACCACTTTTGTTAAAAATTAATTGCTGAAGTAGTGGCTCCAAATACAATATGTCATGTGTACATTCCAGAGTTCTGAACCATCGCCATGTTTGTAATTGTTGACTTATAACAATATTTCCTATATAATCAATAGGTATGCATGCAATCTAACTTCATATCAGATTTCATATTCATACATTTAATGGTTCATTAGTTGTCCCTATCAAACAAAAGATACAGAAAATATGCACATGGCTGCCATACTGTTTTTCAGTTTCTTAAAAGTAACATTTTAATAAAAAGTGCATAAGTTCGGTATCCTGCATAATGTGATTCCAGATTTGCTCTAACTTAGAAGTTTATGTGACCGCCATTTTACTGTTACTGATTTAATAAATTAAAAGATGATATGGCTGATGTGGTTGCCAATGTCATAATGTTCATACAAATTTAATAACTGGCAAACTGGTTCAAAAGTTAAAAGGGAGGGCCATAGCATGGTGACCTCACAAGCCTGTTTCTTTCTTTAAGAAGGCAGATTAAAAACGTGTTTCCTTGTTCAGTCAAAGATAAAATTATGACATCACAGTACAAGGGGTCTGTGGGTGTTCTTTTATACGCATGTACAAGAAATAAAAGTATATAGATTAAAAACTAATTTCTTAGCCTAAAATACTAATTAAGACACTGTAATACATTGAGTTCATGTGTTTCCTTTCCCACTAAAGTCAGAGAAGCAGCAATATAAAATAAATTTCAATAAAACTGCAGGGAAGGAAGAGTCACACTAAATTTTAACAAAATCCTCAATGCTATGAGGAGGAATGAGCTCTAGGATACTCCACTATGAATGAAATCCAAATTAATTAGTTTAGGAAGAATGCATTACTTTTTATGCTATTCTCCAATGAAGACAAGGTGTGGGGAACTATTGTTAGACCATTTTACAGTTAATTGATGAACATATTGAGATTAAGTGTACACAAACAATGGCAGGAGTTCTCCAAAAGTCATGTGAATGTTTTCTTTTCTTTGTGGGTTGGGTTACTTTATGACGCTGTAAGTAAGTGGATTACATAGCACTGAGTGACAGGATTCATGAACCTATCAAGGTACTACCTGACATTTGCCTGGAGGGACTGAGGAAAATCACAAAACTTTCAGTCAGGATAGGCTGGGTCTCAGCTGAGATTTGAATCAAGCACCTCCAAAATATGAGTCTAGAGTATTACCAATAGCCCAGCATGCTTAGTCTGACATTTCCACCTCGCAGAGTAAAACAGGCTGCCCTTGGGAACAATCTTGCCTCTTCTTCATCATGGGATAGTGCAACTGATATACATCATATGTTACTGTTATGTTCAAATAATAGGAAGCAACTGTGCCTCACCTTCAGTTTGGGTCACAGTATTGCCATCTGTGGAGGATGATGTCACCTTGGACTCGGAATGTCCTGTAAAGAACCAAACAAAGTTTTAGTTTCTAGCTGCATTAAGTTACAAAGACAGCTCTAGAACAAATATGCAATGTACTTTTGACAGAAGACCACATATATGTGTACTTATTACATTTGAATAAACTGATTCCCCAAGAAATTTTTAAACAGCATATTTTCAAAAGAAGGCAATGCTTACATATCCACGAAGAGACACAGAAACTCTCTATCCATCAGAAGACAGGCATATTCCACAGTACAGATCAGAAAAAATAAAATCTACAATGAATTATAAAGAAATCATACAGTGCATATACCACTTACATATTTTACAATAGTTTATTCGCTGTGAGGTATCTGTAGTTCACGATTAGAATATTAATTAACATCCATACTGAACTACATATATTGTATACAGCATTCTGTGACATGAATAAAATGAACTCTATGTACAAAGAATGTTACAGTTCAAGCATATTTTATTATGTATGTATTCCTTTCTGAACACAAAATAAAAAGCAGAACTACTTTGCATTCTGTTAAATGACTGAATCAATTATTACATCACTAAATGGCAATAATACATGAGTTAAGTAGCACAAATATAATATGGCTTCCATACAAAAAGGCAGGCTGAAACAAACCAAGCACTTCTGCAGGAAGAATGCATATAGTGATGGGCATTTCCTGCTTATATTATACAACACTCTTACATTAATGATACCCCAACACTGCGGGTGGTATCACAGTTTAAAAACAAAATTGAAACTGAAATTTTAAATACACACGGACTTTGGAAATACATCCAATAATAAGTGTAAAGCGTATGAAAAACACACAATCCCTTTCAGTGTTAAGGTGATGAACTGTGTATGTTGGCTGTCAACAGTTTTAATTGGTATGTGACTTTACTACTCGTGAACTTCAAGTGTTACTCAGCCAATTCATTTTATAAATGACTGATCCTCCTAACACTTCATTATTTCATCTGTATTAGCTTATAATCCTGAACAGTTTTCCTGCATCTCAAACCTTCCTCAAATATAAAAACTCATGACATGTATATCTACAAACACATTAATTCTTAGGAAGTACAAATTTTATAGTACTTTCTCTTCCACTCTTTCATCTTTAACTTCTATTTATCCACAGAAGACTGAAACTGCGAATTACTCTTTGTAAAATTTTCAAAATGTAGCGTTGAGACAGTATGGTTCGTGATTGTTAAAAGATTATGTAAGGCACTGCAATATAAAATGTTATTCTTTTTGCTTTTTCATATATCAGTATATATGAGAAAGTAATGATATCAAAAACTCTGATAAAAGCGTTTTTGGCTGGTGTGGTTATGAAAGAGTGGTTTCTGGTGTGCAGTCTTCTCAGTATGGATGTGTGGCCCTGATAGCACTGGAAGGGTTGGATGGATTTTATTCATATTTGGAGTCAAGAGTTTATCCAACCTATGTCAGAGCATGGGGAATCTGAATATTCCAGGCACAAAAATAGAGGCCCTTCAAATGGGACACAAAACACAAAATCATGATTTTATCAAAAATGTTCAGTAATTTATGCCATCTGCACTAAAGTCCCCAGTGAAAAATGTTACTTTTCTCAAAATCATCTTTAAGGCTCAGGTGTATTTCATTGTTGCCTGGTATTCAGCAACCAACAAGGTCTACCAAGCAACAGTAGAATTTGCTTCCAAGGTAATGTACATAAGGTCAACTGCATGAGAAAGTAGGTGAAATGTCTTTGCAATGATTATTTACTTACTCATTTATGGTTTATTTGAGAACACAGTAAATAGCTCACACTACCTAGCACTGAATGATAGGATGTTTAGTGAATTATGAACTGGTAAGGAGGTGGAAGGAAATTGTCATGGCCCTAATCTGAGGTACTATATTGGCATTTGCCTGGAGGGAATGAGTGACAAAAAAATCTGAGTCAAGAAAGCTGGTGCCCTGGACGAGATTCGAACTGGCCACCATCGAAATACAAGTCAGAAGTGTTAACTGCTTCAACCAACTTGCTCAGAATATATATATATACACATAATGACAAAAACTGTGTACTATCAAGGAGTATAGTTTTTGTACTTTGATAGGTTTCATTATGCAAAGATATTATCAAATTATTCACATTCTTTTACAATTTAATTTGAAGCTGATCAATATTCAGCAAAGCCACAATGACAGAATGTCTGTATATAGCAATATGGTAAACCAAGCTTCAAACCTTATTCAGTATAATGGAATCTGAACAGAAAGTTTAAAGCACCGGCTGCCATTATTTTTTAGTCTCTGAAATATTTCAAATGCCCATCACCAACACATCTGCTGCCTGGATATAATGACAGTTTCAGTCCATCACAGCAACTCCAAAAATAGATACAAATGTTAGCAGTAATGTTTTATTTATGGAAACAACTGAGCAGATATTGAGGATAGAGAGTATAAAAAGGTAAGAAATCTTTTAACAACTCTTTGAAGTTACAAATGGTAATAAACTCAATTCAGTTTTACATCCTGCTTTCACTAACATTCAAGCTCTAATCCCAGGGATACCATTTATTACTGTTAAATTACAGTAACTTCCTTGACATTCAAAACCAAAAAGAACAGCAACTATAGCTACTGTAATTACAACACAGCCTTCTAAAGTTTCTTGGATATTTGGAATGAAGCAGAGAAAGTTCCACCATTATGTGTTTAACACAAGAAAATATAATCAGAAAGCATAGTGTTAAAAACATGGATTTGAACCACCATCTGAGAAGTTTAGGAACAGTCTCAACCTGCTCAGCATTGAACATAAATACACTTACTGCATAGTAAAAAAGACAAAATACAAATTCAGTCATATGAGGCTATGAGGGTTACATATGATACTACTATAGTGTGATAATTGCATAAAAATGAAGGTATGGAATAAACACAATTTATTATGCAAGGGAGATGCAGAGATAGTTAGAACAACCAATCACATGAGTCACTGCTAGTGAATAAATAACAGGGAATCAATCAGGGGAACACTTCTGCATGATAACTTCTACCAAGAAAGACAAGCAGAAACATTCTGTGTAAGTTGAAAAATGCAGCCAGGGATATCAATTTCCACATCAGATGTAGTTTCCGACTCACAGCTGCTGGATCCATATCTGGATTGATGCACATTCAAATTCCTTCTCCCACTACTTGCAGATCTCATGCCTTCAGACCAACCAACACATGGATGCTGGAGCTGATGTGGAAGATGAACTTGCAGATGTTCCAGTTAGCACAGCAACAAGCAGATGTTCATGTCTTTTATGCAATTATTTGCAACTAAGCTAATGCTTGCAAAAAATGAATAAAATCAAGATACTTGTTTCTCTAGGCATAAATCTGTTATTTTTCAGTAGCATTTGATACCTGCACTACAAAAAGAAGCTCATCTATTAAAGTGTGAGTCTCATCAAAGTATAAACACTGCACAAACGGATGACTACATTAGTGTTCAGCTCTTCAGACATGCTGGTGTTTCATCTATTTTAGGTGTAGTGAATTTCACTTCCTGACTCCATGCTAGATGCAGCTACTTACTACTCAAGTGCTGTGCCAACTTGGTCCGTGTCATGCTTGAGTCTTCCCAAGCCTGCTGTTTGTGTACAAACTGTGATGACGCACTACGGCTCAAATGGGATGGGAAATGTTCCTCAACTGCAGGTTGCCTCACTGATAGCTTTGTTTTGGGTGTTGTATTTCGTTTTGATACAGTTTCACTGTTACCTGATACAGTAGCATTAAAAACACTCTCAAATGCTTCATCAACATTCTCAAGATTGTCATCTAGAATCAACATCTCACATGGAGGACGAACAGAATTATCTTTTGGTTCTCGAGCTTTCAGTCTCACTTCATGAGATTTTGACTTAGCAGAAGTTCTAAGGTATGCTTCTACTTCACGCTGTTTGTTTTCTACACTTTCAGGTGACAAGGCAGCTTCAAACTGCTTGGGGAATGATAAGGAATGACTTGATTTCGTTTTAGGTAATGCTGGTGGAATTCGACGAATATTTCTATTTGGTATTGTGAGGTCAGACAAGGCAAGGCTCTGTGGGCGCTTGTTTCTTATTCCTTGCTGTCCTGCTACTAGCTGGTGCCATGATTCAGACTTACGAAGGGTAAGAGGCGATAAGGAAGTGGAAGGGTTCATAAATGTGTCTGCAGTGTTGCTTGGAGTGCTCATATCTGAAACATCATGCAATGAACTGGAACGTGGAGCATTAGGAAAAATATCTGCCGAGTTCTGCACTTTGTTACTCTTACTATAAACTGGGATTTGCAGTCGTGTGGTTAATATCGATTCTCCACTTTCCTGCAGCTCTTCTGTACTAGTTGCAGTAATTAGAGATTCAGCTGAAGCAGGACGCACATGAGTTGACAGTGATGGAAGATAGCCAGATTCTTGAGAAAGGCCAGGTACACTTCCTGTATCAGAAAATTGTCCTAATCGCCTATTAGGACCACGTGAACACTGTGAATATGCCATGCTCTCATAGGTGCCATTCCTTCTCTTTTGATATGTAGGACTGCATAAATTATTAGTATCATCAGCTGCTTTGCTTTTAAGCTTCTTCTGGTACTCTGTGAACTGCTCGTCACTTATCATGGATGCAATATCTGGTTCACTGTGATGCCTAATAACAGGACCTGTTAGAGATTTTTCTTCTTTCTGTGTTGTTGATTTAGAGAGCAAATGATGCTGCTGTGATTCTTTAGCATCCTTTCTTAACCTATCAATGGTGGGGGACTTCTTGGATGAATGAAGAGAAGTCTTTTGTTTATATCTTAGCGCTTCATCATCTGCTTTCTTCCTCAATGCAGCTGTAGGGGAGGTACTGTTTGACTGCTTAGATGCGGTTTGCAAGTTTCTATTTTCACCAGCAGATGAGAATTTTATAAGCACAGAACTGAGGTTCTTTGCAGCAGAACTACGACCACTGGCTTCCTCTTCTGCATCATCATACCGATGCCTTGTTCTCTGAGTTACCATAACTGCTTGGTGAGATGTGGGGCCTACCATGATATGGGACACTGCTGTAAATGCTTCTGGTGAAGGAAGTGAGGTGTCAGGTGACTCCATTGACTCCATTTCTGGTTGCTGCACATTTGAGCTGGGTATGAACATGTCCTCACTCTGAGGAAATGTGGAAGGCCTAGACGTGACACTTCCACCGTAGGTTTGAGGGACAGGACTAACACTTGGAAGCTCAGTGAATTCTTGATTCCCATAATCAATTTCAGTTGTGTAGCTTTTTGTACAATACTGAGGTATCTCTGCTAATATCTTATCCTGCACATTTTGCTCATGAAGATGAATTCCATCTCCATATTTCTGCTCACTGTAAGAACTGTGAATTTGAAGATCTTCATGATGATGTTGTTGACTGTTACCATAGTTCTGAATTAGATGTGGAGCAGTAAGCATTGGTGGTGCTGGGATAGGCAGAGGTAATTTGGGGTTATTTAACGAGAACACTTGATTTGTTTTTTCTTGATAACGTCCTTGTACTGAGCAAGAGGTATGTGAAGGAGGAACATAACTTTTAGGAGTTGGAAGAGGGGCATGGTGTTTAACAGGTACGCTCATATTTCCTGGCACAGCAGTCTTCCCTTGACTCCGACTCTGTGGCAATGAAAGTGGAACAGGTTGGGGTGATGCTTCTCTAGAGATATTCTCAAACTTTATTACAGCCGAATTAAGCACGCTATGCTGTGGTTGGATGCCATCCTTTGTCCATGGAAGGTTTTGGTTCACTGGTGAAAGCAATTCCTGTTTTTTCTGCTGGGTGAAAACTGTCCTTTGTTTGCTTGGTTTAGGAGCAGTAGTATGCTGGATTACATTCCCACTATCAAACTGGTTTACTATTTCAGCTTTCTGCTTCTTCTCAATGGGTTGGAAGGCTGACATAGGAGCATGGGAAAACTTGTTTATATTCACTGGAGCATGGACAGTAGCAGGAGACTGTGGAGGAGTGAAGAGCTGCTTCTTAGTGAGAACAGTCCCTGTGCTGGCTGCTACCATCAGCGATCCAACCACCACTGAATCATCAGAAACGGCATCTCTCTCAGTCCAAGGAAGCTTACTCTGTTGCTCTTGCTCCTTCTGCTCGAAGAGCTTCTTCAAAAAAATGCTTCCTTGCCGAGAGAGTTTTGGGCCACTTGCTGTTGCACTCTTCTTAAGAGTAACTGAATCATCAGCTGACTGCCAAAACGTCCTTGCAGCTGCTGCACCTGGTGACACCAATCTTCTTCCTCTTCCAGAGTCACCTCCACTTCTTTCTGCAGATGTTTCAAATGCTGTTTTAATATTTGTGAAGCGGCTGCTCCAATGATGACCACCGCGAGCAGAAGGATTGTAGCTACTGGCTTTGCCCACTCCCTCATCTCCTCGCCATATACTTCCCTTGCCATTACTGTGCTGCTGAAGGAAAGCCAAGAATTTATGGTCACTCTCAGTCTTGGGTTGAAAGGCTGGAGGATGAATCTTATCTACAAAGGCCTTATTTCCATTGCCTACTCTGATTGGACCACGCAGAGCAAGATAAGCAGCTCGGTGCTGATCACTGGTTAAGCCTGTTCCAGATCTGGAATCCCTTTGTCCCTCATATTCTTCTCCTGAAGAATAATCAGTTTCTTCTTCAATTTCATAGAAATTAAGTGGTTTTGGAATGTCGATAGTATTAGCACGTTTCATCTTGACTTTACGGTCAGAACGCCCATGTGGTCTACCGACAACTTCCTTCGTGTCTTCAGCAGCTATCTGCAGCAGTCTTTGTGCTGATGATATGCTGATACAAGTGTTCCTATTGTTTGTATCTGCTTCAGTATTATTTAGAACTGTCAAAGTACTCTGTATTGGATTTTGCATTGTGTGGTCAATATTCTGGATGTCTTGCCGATTAAGATTCTGCTTGATGATGCCTGGACTCCAGTGTTCACCATTATTCCAAGATTTCCTACTTGTGTCTGGCACCTTTTCTGTATCCTGTTTGTCATTCTTTCGACTGTCATCAATACTAGCTTGCCAAGATTCCAGTTCTGCGGTGGTTTGCTTTGAATTGTATGCATTTAACACTTTTATTTGTGCACAATTAACATCTGTTTTGGAATGTCTATCAAATTCATTCTCGACATGGCGGTTATTACTGATTTCTCCTTGTGTTTTCTCATTGGCAGCAGCTTGGCGAACAGTACATGTGTTATCTTCCTCCTCCTCATCTGTTTCAGAACTGCCTTCATCCTCACTTGAAGCATCCTCATCACTATCATCATCTTCACTTTCAAAAGTCTTCTGACAAAACTGAGCATTAACTCTATGTCGTTTTTCTTCTTCAAGTGACAACTGTTTATTAATAGCTGCTTTATGTACAGCAATTTGAACAGACTGAGCTGGAGTGAACAGAAGAACACTTGGGTCATAATCCCTACTATCGCTATCCAGAGACAAAGAATGTGAAATAGCAATGCGCTCAGGTACACTGTCTTGTGGTGTGGTCACACTGTCAATAACAGCGTCCAATGAGCCAGACTGTGCCACTCCTCTATGTGGGGATGAGCTGCCACTCAATAGGGGTTTCTGAATATGCCGACTAGGCAGACAGCTTCCACTATCAGATCGTGGAGTTGATGCTTTGGAACTTGATGTACTGCTCACTGCTGAACCTTGAGAAACCGATCTACGCTGAAATTTATCTGCAACAGAAGGTCCACTATTTGACCTTTGTGGAACAGAAGCCTGAGAGACATGCCTATGAGCCACTCTGTCACCTACTGAAGTTCCACTGTCTGATCTTTGTGGAGTTGATGCTTTGGAACTTGAACTGCTATCTAGAGATGAAGCTTTTGATACAGGTTTATGGGTGGTCTTCTCTGGAACTGAGTTGCCACTGTCTGATCTCAGAGGCGTGGAAGCTTTGGAACTGGCAGTGCTGCTGGTAGAAGAAGAAGATACTGGAGCTTTCTGAATGGCTTGCTCAGCCAATGAAACAACACTTTGTGTAACTGAACTTGAGCTATCTAATGATACAGATTTCTGGATAGGTCTTACCCCTTCCTGTCCAAGTTTTCCTGGTCTATATTCTCTGTGAACTGCAGTCATTGGCTGTACGCCATCAGGTTTCTCTGACTGAGAACGAACTTCTACTCTACTGACTTGATTGTAACCATTCTCTTTATGCATGCTGCTATGAGGAGGAATTTTAATATTAACTACAACTGGAAGATCAGTAATTATTTCAGGAGTAGTGTCATCTGGCACTGTAGTACTGTTATTTATGTTACAAGTACTATCTAAAGATGCTGACTGCTCTAAAGGTCTATGAATTCCATTTAAATCTGTGACACCAGTATCATTTGAATTGATGTCTATATCACTACAACTGCTTCTTCGGTTTTCAGCCTGTGATGGACCGTTTCTTGAGATGCCACTCTTTCGCAAATGAGAAAGAAAGAATGGTTTTGCAGAGGCATTTCCATTAAATGTGGGACCCGGCAGAGAATGTCTTGGAGTAAAGTGGACAGGGCGGAATACACGCATCACAGGGGACACGACAGATGATGTTACTGATGAACCTTCTGGTAAAGTCAAGTCTTGTGCAGAGTTTTCTTGCATCAATTCATGTGCAGTCTCAGCATTTCTAGAAGTGCCTGAATTTGAAATTGATTTTTCCTTTGCAGCATTTTCTTCAACCAGTCTTCTTGCATCAGCCAACTCCTCTCTTGTTACTGCAACTGTATGCCTGGTTTGACGAAAAATGTTCCTATTCTGAAATTTTTGTGCCTGTTTTGGAGGATGAACCATTTTTTCAGGATTATCAGTCTTTGGATTTTCTTTGTCGGGTGGAGCAGGCAGGTGGAGTGATGCCTGTAGCCGAGACACAAGTTGCAAAAGCACATCTCTCCTTGCGGGATCCAACACTTCTCCTTGCCCTTCTCCGATACTACCCAGCTGCAATGATGCTTGAAGACGTGACAGAGCAGTCTGAACCTCAAGCAAGAGACCTGGACCAAGAGGTTCTGCTGATCCAGAAACAGAGTTTAACTTCTGTGTCGATATATCGTGGCCCTGTTGACGATGAAGTTCAATTGAATCCCGAAGACCCACAGCCAGAAGTCTGAGATCCTCGCCAGATTCAATGCCAGAGTCTTCAACTCTCTCCATTTGCCCCTCCCCAGACAGGCTCTGGCTGGAATAGGAGTGTGGTGGAGGGGCAAGTGGAGGAGCAGTACCTGAACATTTCTTTTCTAGCAACAGTGAAGACCGTAACTGTTCCACTAGCAAAGGCAGGAGCAGAGACTCACCCTCCACTACACTGCGACAGAGCACATCACCCGTTTCCTCCTGCTCACGTTCACTTGCAGCATCCTCATCAGCCAAGGCAGCAGCCACTACGCTTGCACAAGCTGCAGCAACAAATACATGGTTCAGCAGATAGAAATTTCATAAACACGAAGTTAATAAACTAGGCATAAAAAACAATTTAATTACTTGGCATTGTGTACCCACATTTCTTAACTCTTAACAAAACATGTCAAGAATTACAGACCTTTCTGTTCTGCCATAACTACTCGCAGCCTTGCTCTGATTTGGCGTCTCCCTTCGTAGTCTGAGCACTTGTCCAACTAGAACATTAGATAACAGTGCATTATATTCATCTGACTGTAATATATGTTAAAATCCGTTAACACTGAATTGGCAAAGAGTAATGGTATGAAAAGAATGTGTAAGTCAACATCAGATTTGCTTTACTCTCCTATTGGAAAATGGCATCTGAAGAGAAATTATGTATTGGAAACTAAATTCATTCATTTTATTTAAAAACCTTAAAATGCTTGGCTCTAAATGTGTAGTCTTCACACACAATAATTTGATTTATGAATTCACACATAATTAATTTATACATCTGTCCTATACTTGAGTAAGAGCTACAACAGTTCAGTCGGTATAGCGATGTGCTATAGACTGGATGGCCAGGGTTTGGTTCCCAACAGGGGCAAGATTTTTCTTCTCTAGTGTCAATACTGGCTCTGGGTCCCACCCAGGCTCCTACAGGATAACAGGACCTCTTTCCCCAGGGGTAAAGTGGCAAGGGCGTGAAGCTGACCACTCACCTTCATCTACAGTTTAAGTCGAATGGTGAAGCTATAACTCCACTGACCCATACATCTCCGTGGCAGAGTGTGTAAATGCTTATGCACAGTCAATTTTATCCTTTATCTCACAGCTGAGTCAGGGATCTGAACCACTGGATAAACGTCAATCTGTTTGTGTGTCAGCACCACCATTTTTTCACAACAATGCATCATAGAAAACATGGTAAATACAAAGATATTCTCTTCCCTACATTCCCTACAGTACGGACAATACTTTGTAAGATGAGGCACCGACTAAACAATTAATATTAACATCTACATCACGAGCCTCCTATACAATCTTATATACAAAAAGAAAATATAGAATATTCCAATTTGTCCATGGGAATGCACGAAATTACATAAAACGACGACTGATTCGATGTTATAAAACATAAATTAAAATTTTATTCTTGTTTTACAATATAACTTCCGATTGTATTTTTTACGTCAAGTGTTTTATATGATTAATAGTATTGTATCCAGTTTAACAGTACTGCAGTTCAGTGGTGTATATATGTTTAACCATGTATTTGCCTGATGGCTATTAATAGCCAAAGCATGTAGCAGATCCATAGCTGGGCATTGGACTTGATATTTGTTGTGCTGTAACAGTTAATAAAGACGTTGTACAAAGATATTCCTCTTGCAGAAAAAAAATTGTGATAAATTGTTAATTTTGCTGCTAATTCCATGAAGAAGTGGTGTATTAATGGTAAATCAGCTGATGCAGGCACAGAGGCAGTGGAAATTAAGCCAGAGAGTTAAACAAAATTATTAAAATCAGGGATTATCTGGAAAATTTAATTTTCAATGTGGATAAAACAAGGCTCTTCTGGAAGTGGATGACATCCCATGTGTCTATTTCCAGAAAGCTGAAAAATGTCTCAGGATTTGAAGCTTCTGAAGAATGCCTGACTCTCCTCTTTGGAAGCAACATTTCCAGGTCTTCAAATTGAAGTACCTTTTTAGTTTACCATTCAGCAGTGCCTGCTGCTATGAGTGGATATACCAATGCTGATTCACCCACTGTATTGAGTAGCAACCCCAAGGCCTGGTTGAGGGATAATTTAATCATAGGCTGGTTTAGCTCTTATTTTTTTCTTAGCAGTGAAAAAATACTGTTAAGGACATTGGTGATGAGTCCTGGGCTTTGCCATTAATAAACAATGCAAGGCCAGCCTGTGAGACTAGAGACAACGGGCACACACTTTCTCTTCAAACCAGTGTTTATTCAACTACATTCCACATCACTCTTGCAGCTCACAGATCAGGGTGTCACTGCGACCTTCAAGGCCTTGTATGAAGATCTTGTAAGTGACTCATTGAGGAAATCACTGAACTTGACAGAGAAAGTATGCAACACGGATGGAACAAATTCTACATAACGAAGGTCTGGGATGAAGTGTACCAGGCTAGAATAAGTGTTGTCTATCAGGAACTATACCCAGACACTGTACAAGAGCTTTCTGGCTCTGAAGAAGAGCTACCCAAATGACAATGGTGCAATCAGCCATGTCACAAGCAAGCAGTGACCAAGGAAATCATTGCAGATAATGAGGTAGAGTTACTGACCCCTCATGGCTAGCCCCTTACCAGCCAGGAGTGAGCTGCACGAGTTTGGCCACCATGTGGCTTTGAGGAAAAGCAAAAACCTGAGTTGACTACCAGTGTCAATGAACACAAGCATTCTTTGCACAGGCAGTGCATGGCTACACTGGAGGATGACAACCATGACTTTATATTGTGACTGTATGAGCGAGTGCTGTAAAGCATGGTTATGACACACCACTTGACTGCTAGATAAACGTTGTGTATTGAGTGACAAAATCTAACCAGTTGGCCTGTGACTCCTATTTGAAGTGCAGACCACACCCAGGACCATCTTCCAAGCAGCAGAGACTTCTGTCAGCTGGTGGAGAACTGGTTCATGTGGGAGATGGCCAGCAGTAAATTCCTCCCTCCATCTTAACCCACCCATACATGTTCCCAGCTGTGAGTCATAATGTGAGGATGAAGCTAAGGCACCGAAGGTTTAACACCAAGCTCCAAGAAATCTCATGATGTATGTTACTTTTTACTTACAAAATCTTATTTTATTTATTTTCATGTAAAAATGCATTTACTTTTTTTTTCATAGATTTGTTACTATATGTGACTAGACTCATATTTTATCGGATTACTTTGGTGCCTTTTGGGTCTCAGAGTTGGGGCAAATACTTACTTACTCATGGAGCTGAGCCCTTCTTGAGGAGCCGCCAATTCTGCAGCTACTCAAGAATTTCCTACCATTTTATGGAACCCGAAGGTTTATTACCATGTTCACAAGAGCCCTCCACTGGTTCCTATCCTGAGCCAAATCAATCCAATCCATACCATCCCATCCTATCTCTCTAAGATCCATTTTAATATTGCCCGCCCACTTATGCCTCTTGGGCAAATACCCTACCTTATAAAAATACATGTCATAGTACCCTCTAAGAATGCAGAATTGGCTTTAATGCAGTTTTACTAGAAACTATTCAATTCATTACGGTAGGTCACACATGCAAGCACACACAGTTTTCACTGCCTGATTAACTAATTTACACATGAAGTCACTGTGAATGGTGAATGTCTTTTATCACAACTAATAATGAGAATAATGCAGTGCGAAATCTGAGTTTCTCACTGTAGTCACTATGAACAGTATTATTTGCTGGGATGTTATGCCATGAAGTCTTGTAGCAGTTTACTTATACTCCAGTGAATTCATCTTCAGGAATGAAGAGTATGCTGTAAAAGCAAGCAGCAGATACAGCTGCAGAAGATAGTACTCTTCAAGCATAATTCTTCTTCTTTTCAGACACATGGTTACACTTACCAATTGACGTAGCAATCTCTCGTCCCAAATTTCCTCAAGGTCTTTCTCCAAGTCTTTGCTGTTGGTCAATGTGGATGGAGTCTACAATGAAGGAAAAATAAACATAAATGGAAGCAGTGAACATGTGGCTGGCAATGTGACAGAAATGGTCCACCATTACATAAATAGCTTTCCTTGGTACATCCTTCTCTTTCACTTTATTTCATACACTTGCCAAATGTTATACAAGGTGTAGTGAACCTACTTTCATGTAGCAACTAATAAGCATCAAGTCTGTATGCTCCATCAGCCAGTACCTGTGTATCTAGAGAATAAAAATTATAAATATAGTTATTCACCGCCCATGCTATTGCAACTGTACAGTAAGTGCACGATGGCAAAGCACACTAAATCATGTAATATGTGAAGCTGTCTGTGTATGTGAATCATGATCATTCACGCATCAGTTATCCTTCTCGTTTACATATGTTTTTGTAATATATATTACAATCATGTGACAGAAAGTATAATTTTAAAAATAAACAATAAATAATAACAGGGACAAATAAAACATTAAGATCAAAACCTAGTATTCTGAAAAAAAGAAAAAAACAAAGTGTATAAAAACGTGGAAATATGAAGAATACCAGAAATGTTACAGTTTTAATAAAGAAACAGTACCACAAACTGATGAGATGATAAAACAGAACTGAAAAAGATCTAACTACTATTATCATGCTTTATAACCTACTGCTGTATTGAAACACAGCAAATTCATGTTGTGGTTCACTGACAGAAACACTGCAGTCAGCTGTTCTCAAGGCAGCCTGTGTAATTATGCAAGATTTCAGGTTCTCATGGTGATTACTGGGAAGGGCACCACCTTCTGGTATGTAATGCTGTGTAGTCCAGCAGAAGTTCACTGACATTTCAGAAAAATGTACTGCCTCTACCTTCTAGGTCATAGAGCGGCCTCCATAGTCTAGGGGTAACGTTCCCACCTCATGACTCAAGGTACGCGGGTTCAAACCTGGTGGAGGTGGTGGAATTTTTAAGGGCGGAAAAATTCAGGGAACAAGTCCTCCGAGAGGGACTTTAAGCTGTGGGTCCCATGTCGTAGCTTTACGGCATGTAAAATAACCTCATGTCTCAAGGAGACCTCTGAGCCAAATTGAAGGACATTTCCTGCCCAACAATAGTCTCTAACGCCTCTGGTAGATGGGGGAAGCATCTAGATACCGCTGAGCCAGTAGAAGCTGAACTCGCTGGCTGAGTCGGGACTGATGGCACGCACCAGTACCCGTAGGGTATAGAGACTGGTAGAATATCACAGGGGGACGTACAATAGATCAAACTGGTCGCGGTGCATGGGGAAACCGACCCCCTCCAATAATAATAATAATAACAACAACAACAACAACAACAACAACAACAATAATAATAATAATAATAATAATAATAATCCAACAAAGAAACCAGCAAGAAGCTGGCAGTGAACAGAGAAAACTGAGCATAGCAAACAAGGTTCTGATGCAGGCAGACCAGACCATGCCATGGTCTGGTCCCATTCATTCACAGGTTCCATCTTGGTAGGCATCAGAACCTGATTTACTACACATAGTTCACTCTACTTGTTGCTGGTTTCTTGATTCATCCGGTCTTCTACACTGAATCTGAAGGCACTATGTCCCTATGAACTTCTACCAGGATTCACAGCATGATATCCCAGAAGAGTTAAGTGCTCTCAATTTATGTTGTTCACTTTTAAAACAAACACCCATTATCATAGTGTTAAATAAAGAAGTCATTTGGAATAAAGGAGAATGTGACACAAATACTTGCAAATGCATGCATTCTGTAAGATCTAAATTTCATGACAATGATACAAAAAGTTTAATCAGCTGGGCCCAAATGATAGAGCTAGTTCTTATCTCTGGACCTACCTCTATTGTTTGGCCCAAGTGACTAGGCTTTTTACCTGAGGACAGAGGCACAGTCCAGTCTCCAAAACGTTGTTTCAGGTTAAAATAAAAAAGGGAGCTGGATACATCCAAAAAGTCAATAATTGCATGCAGTCTACCTTGCACCTGCTGACACATCTTTCGCTTCAGCAGGTTTGAATTTACGCCCTGCTGGAAGGACCGTACGGTTTCTTTGTGAGTGCAGACGCAGGTGTAAGAGTTCATTGAGCCTTCTGTCAAGGGTGGACCGGCCCATAACGCTTAAGTTTGCTTCATGACTGCATTATTTAGAAACCTCACTTTAAAATGGTGTTAGAAGTATTCTACAGTTAACTGGTCCAGCAATCTAATAAACACAAATGTAAAAGAATGTAACTTTCCTGCTTGTTGTTAATCTCCTTGTTTATACTGAAGTCTAAAGAGAACCCCCACACATTTTATGAAATTTTCTCACCTTTATTCCTCCCCCCCAAGGATTTGGTGCCTTAGAAGCCATCATCTTCCAATGGCTCATTCACAGCCCTGGTTCCTGTCCATCCTTCCATATACTCATATCCAATCCTTCCTTTTCCTTTTGTTAAGCAGACTCAAATGGTGAACAGATAGATTCAGTACCAGGTAGAATTAAGTTAGACTGGAACTGGTTCAGATGTTTAGAGTGAACTGTGGCTAAGAAACACCTTGTAGGTGGCACTATCTTCTAAAGACCCTTGATCACAGTATAATGACTCTGTCCTGGAAATGCCAGAGGCTACGCTGGTGATCTACTTGGTGTGCTACACCTCCTCAAAACTAAAAAGGGATGTAAATAATGACTTTAAATTATGGAAGAGGACATGGAAACAGGGCAAGAGCCATTTGCCAAAACTAGATGGCAAGATCTTCCAAACGCTACTTAAGTGCTACAACACTCAACTCCACACAGTGGACTACCTACAGTTAAACAAAGAACAGAAAGCACCCCAAATCTCTGGGACTAAACCAGCAGACCAACAGCAGCCAACAGACATCATCCAAACCCTGCAGTCACATCAAGAGGACCAGTTCTTCTGAAAATGCTGATCCCAACCTAGGGCCAAGGTTCTGCCCACCAGCATCGAAACTAGTCAGTTACTGGTCTGAACTACTTCATGCCCCTCACAGTGTCCAGCATGGATGATGAAGTATAGTTCCTAAAGCCTGATCCAACAGGCTTATCATTCTCCATAACAGTCATAGAAGTGGAAGCTTACAGAACCCAGATTCATACAATAGTATTACAACTGCCAAATTTTGACCAAATTTGGGTCCACTGCAGGAATCCCCCAAAAAGTTACCTAGTGCAGGTGTAGCCATAGCCACCATGAGTGGCCAGAGAAGGACAATGATGGCAGCATACCAAAGTGCTGCAGTGTAAGGTGCGGCATCGAAGCAGCTAGTGAGGTTGTTATAATGCCGAGAAGGGCGACAATGGAGGAAGAACACTACAGACATTATACTGAAAGGCTAAAACAACTCTAATTTTAACACTGTCTAAATTATAACACATTTAATTTTTTCTCCAACTGAAATTGTGTTCAGGAGGTCATGGTTGACTGCTGAGTATCTGAGTTCAATAACATACTCAACATTTTTTTTCTGAATATCTCCAAAACCTTAAGACTTATTGAGAAAATGCATGGACATAAAATGTGTTTCATTTTTCTTAAGTTAGATCTTTTCTCCCGTAAATATGTTTCAAGATACGCACAGAAACGCGTTTAAGTCTTCATGCAAAGCTGCTCTCGGACTTGTCCAATTTAACTGAAAAATGAATCTGCTTGACAGTTCTGTGTACCATTCTCAAATAGCAAATTTCTTGAAAACCCGTCCAGCAGTTTTCAGGTTGTTCCATATGAACAGAAGATGAAAGGACGGAAATGGATTGAACGAACTTAACTGGCGTTTTTAAAGGATGTGAACACAATTATATGATAGACAGATCAGAAAACCGACTGTGAAGTGGAACTTACAAATAGCCAGCAGGGCAAAATTTTCCTTGTGCTTAATTAATCACCACAACATGAAGATAAATGAGGTGGGATATAGCTCCACGCAACCCTAACCTCGGCACTAAATGGAGGCAAGTAGTTAACTTCAAACTCCGGCCACTTTACCCCTGGAGAAAGAGCACCTGGTGCCTACCGGTTGGTAAACTGGGTGGGCTCCAGAACTGGTCTGGGTGCATCCCCAACCGGGGTTTTTCTGAAGTCCAGCCTGTACCCTAGTACGTACATGTATAAAGACATACATACATGTTGCATTCCATGGACCCACATTTAGTAAAAAATGACCTTACAATGTAGAATAAGCCATAAGAACACAGGTGGTATATGTACAGTAAAAATGAACCTATTTTAGAACCGACTGAGCCATGCCACCGGCGGCGGCAATGAACCTGAATAACACCGATATTAATGGGTATCCATGCAACGGCAATTATTTCAGCAAGAAATATGCTTTTAACGCCGTTCCGGTGTCATAAATAAGAGATGCGGGTATGTTCTGCCAAGTGGCTAAGTTCCCACGATTATAGCCTGAAGATATTCCCCATATTATTCTGAACTACTAATGCTTTTGGCATCTGTTTTGACTTCAGGTTCGTCTTCTTCACCCTTTTCTCGTTCATTGGCCTTCTTTCTCTTCTAGGACTGTTATCAGGACGATGCTCTGAATCAGATCGTTCCTTGCATCATGACAGCTTCCGGGACATGCCAGAACAGTGAGGAATGAATGTTTTTATCTTATGTAATTAATGCTGATGACAGGTGGAGGACCCACGAATGTGAATGCTTTGTAAGATTTGAGGCTTTCACGGCGGTGACTATGAAGAAAGCAGTCTTCTGGGATTTGGCACCGTGTATATGTGGTGTTAACCGACGTTTCGGAGGAACGTATCGCCCCCATCACCACATATACACGGTGCCAAATCCCAGAAGACTGCTTTCTTCGTGAATGCTTTGGCTTGCTGGAGACAAATTTGATGTCTGGCTTAACTAAACTTCTCTGCAGCTCGAAACGTAATTTCCAACAGCCATTTTTTTTTTCGAAATACTTAGGGGTTGCAAACAGAGGTTCCAAATGCATCTTTCGATAAATTCTGTATATACTCGGGGATAAAGA